ACAGTGCTGTGTGCGAAAAATCTCCATTTAACAAATCGACCGTGGCCATGGTTTGTTGTGATCTGTGCTTTTATCGACAACGATATTCGTCATCAAAGTGGTCAAAATGTTGTGGGCATTATGATGACACTCGCTAAAAAGCCTTCGTTAATGTTAGTAGCATACTGAAAAACAAATAGTCTTATTAACCATGTTGGAGTTTTTTTAATCATTTCTTTCCCTAACCCTAACCCCCTAAGAAATTTTTTTCTGTTAAAATTTGCGAGCTAAATGTTAGGCAAACGACTGGTCTCAAATGATAACTCTATATGAAATAGAGATTATCAATTTCTTTTCTAAACGTTTCCTTCTGTATATTTGAACAGATGTTACCAAAGCCGCATCTTTATTTCACAAAGTTTCGTTATAAACACTGTGGCTAATTCCCAATCATGACAAAATCGAGCGGCTGGCTCCGTTAACAGCACGTTATCACTAAATCTTACTTCTGAGGTAAGGCGACATATTTCATCCAGTTTTGATCGCAAAGAAAAATCCTGAGCGCGCTCTGATTCCGCTTCACTACTTCATTAGAAATGCCTAAATTGGCGACATGTTATTGTTTTGTTATGGCTACTACACTAAATTTTTTCACCTGTAAGTTGTTTATTAGATAATTCAAATACATTTTAATATTTAGAAGTAGCTCTCCTCATCATGAAATGATATATCTTCCCCTCTCTCCAAACAACTGTATTTTTTTCAAATTAGCTATAGAAGAAACAGTACATGCCAAAGTTAAAACAGGTCTACCCCTACGCATAGCAGAATGCTTGTCTGATTGTCTGCTTTACTGCTCGTCTCACTCCACTCATCTTCCAGCAGTAAAGTAACGGGTTTAAAGTAGAGTTAAAGTACGCTAAGATATTTGCTATTCCCAGGAATATTAATAAATTCGAAGATTGCTTTGTTCTAGATATCCCAATTCGCACTGTAAATTGTGGTATATAACAGACAACTAAAGCCAACTGCACCCACAGTGCACTGTACACTGCCTTTCTGTATCGTGCCATGTTCATTGCATTTGGATGGCTCGGCTGTTGTTGAGCATGATCTTGTATTTGAGCCTGATGATGCCTGAGAGCGCGGAAAATCTTTGTGTAGGCGGCGATTGAGATTAACAGGCAAAATGGTATACCTATACGGATGCACCAAAAGGTTATACTGTAATTGAGCAAAAAAAATAAACCAGTGACTAGGCATGTAACCCAAACGATAGCTAAAATGATATACGTGCGCCTCAAAGTTACAATCTCTTTGTATCTCAGTCCCAACAACATGGCGAGAAGTCGGTCCACACTTATGGCGGCCGTTGTAACCAGAGAAATTCCACACAATGTATAGCTTGTTATGGAAACTGCGTAGTTTGCGTAGCGACAAAGACTCCAGTGTTCGTGAACCAAGGAAATCCGATAAATAGCATAGTGAGGCTGGCAAACAAGACCAACCAACAGATCAGTTGTTGCTAGACAACGATACAAGAGTTTGGATGGCGGATGGAGGCAAGATTCCTTGTGAAGGGCAATGAGGATAAGAGAATTCCCAAGAGTTGCTGTGATGGAAAGGAGAATGCTGACTGCTGAGAATGAAATGGACTGTAGTTTAATATCACCTACCCAATCCGGAGAGCATACCAATATCTCAAATTTTTTCGTCTGTGTTGCATTTCCCGTTATATTTATTGTCGCCATCATCCTGCTGTCGTTTCCACTCTCTTGCAGGCTATCCTTATTTACAACGAGGAATATCTTGTCTTAACAGCGCCCTCCAAGTCATGATCAGTTAAACCTTAGTTTTTGAATAGCATTTACAGAGAGGAAAAATTCATCACAAGTGTCTGACTATGTAAAATGCCCGACAGCTGTGAGGTTTATTACACAAAAGAAAAAAAAGCCGTTTTCTCCGCGCGAATTTGAATTAGTAATAAGGGGAAAGTAAAACTCCATTTTTGATAGGTCAATTCCCCAACAAAACAGAAAAAAAAAGAAAAACTTCCTCACTCTAATAAACCTTCAGTGATAGGACATCGAAAGTCAACCGACAGTCGGTCGGCAGTCGACCAATTGTCGGCCGACGCTTTGACCAACGCATCAGCCGACGTGTTGGTTTGAATCGGGTTCGTTTATTTACCCGGATAATAGCGTGAATTATTAATTCACGTGATCTTGGGAAGCCAGGAATTGTTTTCAGCTAAGGAAAACTAAGAGAAAAATGTTAATATCAAAATTCATGTAGGTTACAGATACAAAGTTATTCTAAAATATTTGAATTTTGTTCTCTACGTGTCGCACCTATCTGGACTTAGGAACGAAACGGCGACAGGTGTAAGATGTTACGTCGTTAGCCCATCTCTATCTTAAATTTTTCATTTACTATTCACCCACTTCATTTATAACCGAAAATTCAGCCGAGTTATTTATTGTGGTCAGGAGGAAATTAAAGGTCAAGAAGCTTGAGGTTCCATTTTTCAAATATCTAATTGATAGTGAGATTAGCTTCTTTGTTTTTTATTGGAAGGAAAACGACTAGGTGATTGATTCCGTGAACACCTTCGCGACGTAGAAAGAAATAACAAGGACGTATCCAAACCACTAGACACTTCAATCGCTCTAAACATTCTAAGCAGCATATGGAAATTTGCAGCCTTTCCCTATACCTAGGAAGTTCGGAAGGCAATAAAACTATAGAACAAAAATGTGTCTTTCAAATCGGCACTCTTATTAATCTCTACGGTAACAAGGAGTGCTTTTCACTGAAATATTTCATTCTTGTTTTCTCCTCACCATATTCCCACCAATAGCGTAGCTCCACTTCCTGTATATAAACCCACACACAACCCACAATTCCTCCAATCACTCTGGCGAAGGGCTACCGCTCGAAACGTCAGCTTTTAAACTCTTTACAGTGGCCAATTTTCGTTGTCAACTCAGTTGAAAATACTAAACTACCCTGAATTTATTTTTACTATTTTATGTTTCAAACACGCTGTCATGGATAGGGCAAGTGATGGGACTCATTTTGTTGCTGTTTTACTGTGCGATGAACGATTCACCTTTGGCAATCAAAATCTCATTCGAACACTAAAGAGAATAAAGTCGTCTGTTAATTACAGTTGAAAATAATAGACTGATTATTAACTGAATTCTTAGGGAAGTACAGAGTCTTGCTTAGCACAAAAGTGGATATGACAAAGAAGAAGAGACGAAAACAAATGATACAACAAATACAGGACAACTAAGGGGGAGAAAAAGGGGTAACTAAGGGGATACAAGTGAACTTTTATCTCCCCATTTTCAACAATTTGATAAAGCGAGTTACCCATTTTTCATTTGCTCGACTGTCTTAAAGAGGAGAATAATGGTTACGAAATGATTTGCCAAGTGCTTGCTGGTCCGTGTGGACAGTTGTGTTTCAAATTTCTGTACCAAATCGCCTCATTTCTCAAGCAGGAGTTTACAACGTGTAGGGGTCAAATGCGTCGTGAGTTACTTATGACAATTCTGACTCCGGTTCAAATTTCCCATCTCAGCCGGGCAAGGTTCAAATTCCCCACCCCACGGGCACGGACGACGGTCCTATGCCTGTGGGTTGCCCGGGGGAGTGGGAGAGGGAGGAGAGGAAACGTTGAGATTCGAATTAATCGGTACATTACGGAGTAATTATTACTCACAAAGAAGGGGATTAGCTATCAACTAATACGTCCTGCAAAATGTGACATCCATTCTTTAACATCATTAGATTACATAATTTTATGTTACTAGGTATTTTAGAGACAACCAGCGGAGGGAGTCGCCTTCAGATATTTTCAGCAGTAATCTAAGGCTGGAAATGCTGTAAGTGTAACATCTTTTACCAGAGCACGCATTTCTTATTTGTAAGTCGCTCCACTTTCTAGTTGTAGTATCTTTAAACACCTGAATTCAAGTATTCTAGACAGGTCGGTATTTGTAACTCTGGGAGGGAGGGGGAGGGGAGGGGGGATGTATGGGAGGATTTTGGTTGTGTCACGACGAATATTCCCTGATCCTCCATAAGGCTCCATAGTATTCTAAAGATCCCTTCTCATTGGCTGTCAATTCTCTGTAATTCCCCTTTTATACTCAGTTGGTAACGACTTATGCTCCCTCCGTTTCCCCTGAGAAGCATGCGCTCCCCCAAACAAACAAAAAAACAAACAAGCAAAACAAAACAAAACAAAACAAAAAAATCAGGTTCTTTAACATTATGACCACCTCTTTTTTTAAACACCCTTTAGGTCTGACATTTCCATACAATAAATAGACTGATCTTGAATTATCACACGGTACCTGACGTGAACGATTGTAGCAATTATCAACATGCGAGGTATGTAACTTGACTAGAATCTTAGGTCAACAAATAGGGGCCCAGCTCTCCTTTCTACCGCTTTCCTCGAGCAGCTCCGTGTTAGCTCCTTGGGAAATGTATAGAGAACAGTATGGAAGATATGCATACTGATGTTTAGGTCTAAACGGTTTTAGTAAATCCGCCCTAATTAACTTCTGTGCTTCGGATAAAGCTTTCCTACTGTTCTTGTTGTTTCCTTAGTCTCGTATCTCAGCTGATAATTTTAAAATTTTTACCTCACTGTCGTCACTTACAGTAAACTGTATTTCTTTTGATTTGCTTAACCTCGCTGTGCGATATGTTGTCTCAAATTGTTGTAAATACTTAAGTGAATTGCCATGTGAAACGCATCTTTTTATAAAGATATTTCGGCAGGGCATGAGACTGAAATTTAGAATGAAAAAAAGGCATTAAATATAAACTTTGACTTCTGTTTGTCCTTTTTTCTTTTCTTTTCTTTTTTAGGCGAACCAGTGAAGAGTCTTGATCATGTTTAAAGCTTGAAGAGGTCGGCAGCCAGGAAAGCCAAGACGCGAGGTCGGGGAGGATCCTGGAAACTAATAGCGGCTGATTTCTGAGCCGCCGGTCGACAAGCGGCGGATCTTCTATCAAAGATGGCGGACAAAAGTGTCGGAAGTCTTTTAAACCGCGTTGTGTTGCCTGGCGATGTTATCGGTAATGTAGCTGATTTGGAAGGAAGACTTGAAGGGAAAAACAAAGTTAAGCTCGGTCCAGGCTTAAGAGAAGTAAATGGCGTGATCATGGCCTACAAAGCAGGGGTTTTTAGACATCGAAACCCGTCAATCTACATGATCGATTGCAATCAAAGAAGGGTTAGTATCTTTGAAGTATTTTTGTTCACAACTCCAGGTTTTTTTTCTTTCTGATCACGGTATATGGAACAATTGTAACGAAAAATTCTTGCAATTTATCGTTGCGCGAAAATTACAACACCGTGTAGCATGCTGGAGAAAACTTTTTCCTTCAACTTTTAACTTTGCATCACGTAGCGAGGTTTTGACTTGGGTTAAAAAATGGATGGTAACGCAAGGTGAAGAATGTTTGTGAAATTGATTTGTGTTACATGGCTGCCATCAACTTATTTTGTGCGTCAACTTCGCAGAATTTCATTCACTTTTCCAGCGACGGAAGTTTAAACAAACGAAATGCGGGACCTGTGCTCAAACGTTGCGGAAATTGTTATGTTAAATATCGTATCACCTAACATAACCTTTGCGTAGAGAAAATGCGCGAGCAATTTTTTGGCCCCGTAACCTGTGTCTGCTCCTCATTCATTTCTTGAGAACCTTTAACCTAGACTTGGCTGAAGCTCATGTTGTGGAGCGCTAGATTGCCTTGTGGGAGGTTTAGGGTCCAAGCCTTAGAGTGGACTAACACTCAGGGTCATAAAGAAAAAACTGAGGAGAAAGTGTTGCCTTTATTACGAAATTTGCAAATGGTTAGATATTCTAGTGGTCTCATATTAGAATGATAAATTGTAAACCTTGTCTCCCATCTTTTTGGATGAGCCAATAGAATACCAGGATTTCTGAGTTGCTCTCTGCCAATCAGACAAAAGCCTCCTTTGTTGTGTCCTGCAACCTCCCTTCATTGGTCAGCAGGGAATGTTAAGGGACCCATGCACCTCTCTCAAAAAACAGGGAATGTAGTTCCCAGAGTTGTGGTCTGGTCATTTTAGATAGTATCATTACAAGCCGCATTGCAAGTAGAGAAATAAAAATAAATAGATTTGTGACATGCTTTTCAGTACATTCCAGTGAAGGAAGAGAAAGTCATTGGAATCATAACAAACAGAGGCTCTGATAGTTACAAAGTAGACATTGGAGGGGCAATGCCTGCATCATTACCAAGTTTATCATTCGAGGGAGCCACTAAGAAGAATAAACCTAATCTTCAGGTACAAAAAAAATTAAAAAACAAATATATTTTTTTAAAAAACTAGAAATAACAATCTGTGTACTTTGTCTAGCTGGCTGAACCATTTTACTTCAAGATCTCATTAGTAGTTCTTCTTACTGTTTGCTGTACAAGTTGTGTGATGTTAGTTTGGAGAATTTGAACTTTTTTGTTTTTACCACATTTTGACATCATTTTTGATCTATTACTGAACATACACACAGAAACTTGGAATCTTTTTGTCAATCATTTACTTGCAGGGCTAAAAATTGGCGGTCGCATGGTCGCCAGGGGCAAGTTAAAACTGACCAGTGCCTGACCAAAAGTTAAGGTTTGAACGCCCGATGTGCAACTATGCTACAGAATTTCGAAAAGTTGCAATGTAAATTATGCAAAGTACAAAGTTAAAAATTAAACTCAATATTTAGTTTCATTGTACTAACTTTCTCTTTGTTTCTTTGCCTGGACTCTAAGATCATCCATTGTAGTGAATTTTTAGTTCTGAAGTGGAAATTCCAAGCCGTTTTAGCAGTGATTTCACGAGCTTGTTCTTTCCTTTTAGTTAATGCTCCAATAAAAGCCATGGGGCATTTATTTAAGTTTTTCATTTTAAACTAAAGGAAATCAAGGGCTACTTCATTTTGGGATGGGCCACTAAGAATTCAAAGAAACTGGCCTGACTGGCCACCAAGCACTGGAGTTAATTTTTAGCCCTGCACTTGCAGCTGATAATCAGCTACCTTATTGTTTTGAGAAAAGGATTTACAACTGATCAATTTTATCAATTTCAGATAGGGGATATTGTTTACGCCAGGCTTTGTGTTGCAAATAAGGACATGGAACCTGAACTGGATTGCACAGATGGCAGTGGAAAAAGCACTGGTCTGGGACAGCTGTCTGGAGGCTTTATGATCAATTGTTCACTTGGACTTTCAAGAAAGTAAGTGAGATTTCTGAGTTTTTTTAATCCCATACGGTAATTGGTCCTGTGGCCCCAAGTCATGTTGCCCCTCCAAATGTTGTCACCTACATGCCACTAATAGGCCATAGGTCTTACATGACTCTGAGTTTAGGGGGAATTAAGTAAAAGAAATTCATCATTTATCTCGCAACCTCGAAGTGATTTGTTTTGTTTTATTCTCCCAAGCCTCAGAGCCAAATTTGAATATGAATATATTGAATATGGCCTACTAGAGTATGTAGGAATTTCCATAAGGGAGGTTATAAATATTCATACTGATAAGAATATGAGTACATACCGGATTGTTTAATAATGGGTATGGTATCATTTCCTTTTATCAATTTTCACTTGCACATCTGGGTCAACCTGAGCTTTTTTCTGGCAAGAAATAAAGCCCAGTGCAACGGTCCAGTTTGAGAACCAGTGGAGTAATTTTGTTTGTCCTTAACCCTTTATTTCCCAGAAGTGATTAAAATGTAACATCTCCTTACAATATCCATACACTATTCAGCAAACAAGTAATAAGAATGCTCAAACTTATCAGGTGGAAGTTCTTATCAATGATGTAACACCAAATTCATGTAATTTGCTCACAAGGAAATGGTTAGCAGCTAAAGGGGAGAATTAATAATCTGATCTTGGGAGTTACAGGGTTAAGTAGGATACTGTACTTTACTCTCACATTACCTCTCTCCACTCAGAAGTATAAATGGGTTCATGTGAACTGTCAGGGAAAGCAAGCAAAATCCCAGAAGGGTGGGTGGGGGGCAAGGGCTTGGGCTTGGGCTTGGGCTTGGGCTTGGGCTTGGGCTTGGGCTTGGGCTTGCTTTAGATAAATGAAAGTGCTTCTCATGCTGCATCTCTCCACTCAGGAGTATAAATGGGTACCTGTGAACTGTCAGGAAAGCTAGCAAAATCCTGGAAAGGTGACGGGGGGGGGCTTGGGCTTGTGTTAGATAAATGAAATTGCTTCTCACGCTGTCTCTCTCCACTCAGGAGTGTAAATAGGTACATGTGAATTGTCAGAGAAAGCTAGCAAAATCCTTGAGTGGTGGAAGGGGGGGGGGGAGGGGGGGCTAGGGATTAGATGAGATGAATGATAGTGCCTCTCTCCACTCAGGAACATAGGTGAGTACAGGCAAACTCTCAGGGGAACTTGAAAAAAATGTCAGTAGAGGGGAGGGGAGAGAAGGGTAAGGGGGAGAAGGGAAGGGGAGGGCAGGGGACCAGAGGGGTAGTTTATGACTAGCATCCCATCAAAGTTAGAGTGGTTTTATTTGTATTCACTTTTTGGTTTAGAAACCATTATACTGTAAGCTCTGGCTGGAATGGCCAGTAGGTTTTGAAACCAACTTCACATGTACCTTGTGCCTTTTGTAAACTTTTGTGGCACAAATTTTAATGATTGTTTGACTATGTGATTCTCTCATAGACTGCTCAGCAAAGAATTTGTTCTTCTAAAATGTCTTGGAAAGCACTTTTCATTTGAACGTACTGTGGGAATGAATGGGAGAGTGTGGATCAATTCATCAATACAATACCTTACTGTTGATTACTGTTGCCAATGCTGTGTCGAACTCTGAATACATGAACAACAATCAAATTGAGACAATGGTGAAACAGCTTGTGAAAGGAATGCAGTCATAAGAACAGCATAAATCTTATCCTCTGAGTAATTTTCTTGAATTTCATGATGGAAAGAACAAGGAAACAAAAAAACCACCGTTTTGAAAAGTGATACTGTATTTAAGATTAATCTCAAGATTTTACAATACATGTATCTCTGTTAGTAAATGTACTATGATCAGTCAATGAAGTGGGCCATGTTTCATCGTACAGCCTGCTGAATTCAAAATTTGTTCGTAGTTAAGTCTCCTCCCTGTATTTGAACCCAGAGATATAATATTTCACTAAGTTATTTTCTTGGTGTGTGCTGTCAGTTACAGAACCTCCTTTTTTTCGCTCAGATTTATAGCTTGCGCGCTTTGCACTTGGGTCACAAATCCAAGCACAGAAAAGTTGGTCCATGACTTATAGTGCCAACTTCTAACTCAGAGCTTCACAATGCGTGAATGGAATACACAAAATCACTTCAAAGAGTTCTTCATAAAATCAGTTGGGATCTCTGAGGAAAGTAAGGGTGTTCAAAAGTGCCTTTGGAAGAGGTCATGGCAATTGTATTGCATTGTATTTCAAGTATCAGCTCACCGCAACTACACCTGCAAGAGACATTTTGTTTAAAAAAACCGAGTCTCACTTTTAATCTTTAAATATTACAGACAATTTGTATTTCATAACGCAAAAAGGATCATGGTATATTTACTTTGTCTAAGTCTTGCCTTTAAAAAAAGATTGTATGTTCATTCAGCATAAAAATAGAAAATATGTTTATATAACACGATAAACAACCCAGTTGTAACTTTTTAGGTGAGCTTCTCCACAGAGGATGAAACAAGGTTCTTGACTGATATTTCTCCATTGACAACCTTCTCTCTGATGGAGTCCTTGTGTTTCGGGATGAAAACCAAAGAACGCATCTTCCTCTCGTAGGTGTTGTTTATAAGTTTACCAAATGTGTTGAACACAATTTTCACTATAAGCTCGGGTAAATTTTCTGATGGCTGAAAAATAAGAAAAGGAGAGTTGGTAATCAAGTGAAGAGTCAAATTCTCAACCAGGCTGTGCGATTATTTAAGATCAGTATATTTATTGCATGGAAATGTCAGAGCTAGAGGGTATTGAAAGGAAGAGGTGATCATAATGTAAAAGAATCTTTTTTCGGGGGGGTGGGAGAGGGGGATCACATGGTTCTCAGGGGAAACGGAGGGAGGATAAGTCGTGACCAACAGAGTATAAAAGGGGGACGACATATCTATTCGGTAGTCTAAAATGTAGCATAAACCAGCGACACCAAACGGTACCCAAAAGGTTGCTACCATGAAGTACACTGAATTTGCCTTCATCTTAGCCCCGACAACAGGGCTAGAAGTCTGTCCACACTGAACAAAAATCATATAGGCTGTTATGTTTGTTGCTTTGTATGTGCATCGACAAAGATACCTCTCTTCATGAACCAAGAACATCCAATAAGGGGCAATGAGAGGCTGGCTGACAATGCTAACTAACAGATCAGTTGTTTCCAAACAACGATACAAGAGTTTGGACGGCGGATGAAGGGAAGATACTTTGTGAAAGGCAATAAGGATGAGAAAGTTCCCCAAAAATGCCATGAGCGAGAGGAGAATGTGGACTTCCGTAAAATAAAGTGATTGTTGTCACATCTACCTGCTTATGATGGCGAGAAAACTAGGTCTTCAAATGTTTTTGCTTGCCTTTCAAATGCAGTTAAATTTGTGGTCGGCATCATCAGTATCTACTTTTCTATGGGTATAACAGAGATATTTCGCCTTCACAACAACTTCACATCCACCTTGGCTTCGATCTCACCTTTTATGCATGTATCCTCAAGCATTAAAACCGTATTACCTACCCAGTTTGAGAAGCCCAAACGATATCAAGAGTCCGTTGTGCCACAAAGCACATAAATATTTTCCACAGAGGTTGGCATGTGTACCTTGCATTAAATAACCATCCTAAAAGGGAATCAGTTGTTCAGCGACAATTTATCCTGCCGTTATACCCTGTAAGGTCGCAAGATAGATCAATGGGCTAGGGTGGGAATGTTGCTCAAAAGATCATAAATAATTCAAATATTCCTTCCGCGGGAGACATTTTCTGGTTTTAAGGCGGAATTTTGCTTCTGAATCATGCTCTTTGTATTAGTTACCTGTTTATCAAAATGTTAGACGACCATTTTGGATATGGCATCGTATAACAGGGACAAATTTATACTCTCTGTGATCAGTGTGTCAAAATAAATGGTGGAAAACTCAGTGTTTGACTGAGGAAAACCCTTTCTGAAAGCTATTGACAGATGACGAAGTGCTTGTGCCAATGTTGTGATCTCGGGACTTACTCACATACGAACGACAAACTGAAAAGCAGAAAGGTTATAGGGCAGATTTTACACGGTCAGGAAGCAGTTTGAAGACTTCCTTTGAAGGAATATATGTTCACCAATACCATGTTAATTTAGCCAAGATTTTGTTTTTGTGCTTTCGAAAAACTATACGAGCTTTTTTTTACAATACGGCTTTGCTACCGAATAAAAATATTCAGTTATTTCGTAGGTGTCGCAAAGGCTATTTTTAGTTGGGATTTGCGTGACTTTCAATACCCTTTTGTTTTGTGTGACATACTTTCGAGTTTCATTCGGCCACGAGACGCGTGTGAGTTGCAAGTACAGTCAGAAGAGGAGATAGATCGAAGAATTGTTGAAATATTACAGTAATTAATAGAACGACGAAAGAGGTAAGTCATTTGGTTTATTTCTGTAGTTCTGTAGGTCCATGGTTGTTTTTAATCATGATTAGTGACCTAGCAATTTGTAATTCATCACTTTGGAAATACGTAGACGACACGATGACATCTGAAGTAATTAGGAAAGGAAAAGTGAGCAATGCGCAAACTGTAGCAGATGAGGTAGCAGACTGGTCTAACAGAAGTAGAGTCAAACTAAATACTGACAAATGTAAGGAACTTCGCATTTCTTTTGCTTCAGTTAGTCATGATTCCCCTCCCGTAGTTATCAGAGGAGAGTGCATAAAGGTTGTTACTGATGCTAAACTCCTAGGTGTAACTATTTCAAGTGACCTAACTTGGAACGCACATATCACAGAAGTGATAAAAACGGCAGCTAAGCGGCTCTATTTTCTCATCCAGCTTAAAAGAGCCCGCGTTTCTCAGAAAGATCTTTGTCTTTTCAACATCACGTGTGCGCTCCGTTATCGATTAGATCAGAAAAGGGCAATGCGAATCATCTGCCCTGGCATGGAATATCAGCACGCGTTTGCGCTATCGAACCTACCGTCCGTAGCGGAGCATCACAGAGATATTTGCAAGCGTACGTTTGAAAGTATTTTCAATGACAGCGGCCATAAACTCAGGAAATTACTAACCGCCTCTACATGAGAGCAAGTAAAATATTAGGCACGCGCGATCCTTCGGCATACCGCGCTGTAAAACAAACAGATTTAAGAATAGTTTTATTATGGCTTCATGTGCCCTAGTGAATAATGTTCAAATTATTAGACTTTTCACAATATGATTTCAACAAGATGTTTATAGTTTTTAAATTTTTTAGATATTACTATCATTAGCTCTTAGGTATTATTAAATTTGTAAGTTTGTACATTCAATTAGAATTTTAATGAAAATACGTAAATTAAGCTCTACGAGCTGCGATGTATTTCAACAAAGAATCTATCTATGTATCTAGTTATATACCGAAACGAGTACAATCAAAGGTAGTTTTGTTTCGCTTAGGATATTTGTGTTGATTTGATTTATCTGTATACACGCCCCTCGTGTTCGAGTTTAGAATATTTCGATCAGTGTGTATTGTATGATAATGGCTTTTTTTTAATTTATTGTATTTCAGTTTTTATAAACTTTCAAGTTAAATAACTCAATTGAGATTCGATGGACGCTTGGAGGTCCCGTCAATATAAAACATTTCTCCGATATGACGTTGTTGGATTCAATTAATGTCAGCGTCCGCCCCATTACAATAGGCGCAAAGCATAAAGCTACAAAAACCTTTTTAAATATATTGTTTGCTTTATAAAGCGTTAAGTTGGGTAAATTAATTTCTCTGTTGATTAGTTATCTGATTGCAAAACATCGTAGTAAAAATTAAAGTTGTTATGTACAAAGTATCTCGATTCCTCTTTCGTGATAAAGTGGCTCCACTGCTCACTCGAAGAAAATGCCTGTAGCATTCACTCGAAGTCTGCATCACAGCTTTTATTGACAACTTATCGAGTGATAACGTTGCTTGTTCGAGACGTTCAGCTAGCAAAACGAAGTGCTCAGTAAACGGCGCGATAGTCAGGGCGGAACGAAAAAAGAGTGAGGCTTGGGTCGAGTCGGGGAAGAATGGCATTCACCCGACCCGATCCGACCGAAACCTCCCCCGTTTTTCACTCCACCACTGCTATCGTGCCGTGTACAATTTCGCTACGTTTTACTAAACGAATGACTGGAAAAGGCTTGTAATAATAAACAACAGCTAAATATGAGCTCTGCTTATAGAGATATGCTCAACAGCCTGCGACATTCTACATCATTTCATCAATTCTACTGAAAGATCAGTGTCAGCTTGGCTTGCCTGGCTGAGACCATGACTCAGCAAGACAAAGTAAAAAAAAAGAGCATTTTAAAATTCCCTGGAGTATTTGAGAACATAAGTTCATGATATCTAAAAATTGCGGTCGAAAATCAGTCGATCGATGAAAAATTTTTGATTTTTTAAACACAGCTGACCAAATTTATTTGACTCTCATTTTGTCTATGTGGTATACCTTTTCATATTATTAACTTATCAAAAATTTGCATACAACCTCTTATTTATTCCGTGATATTAGTAATTATAACGGTCCCGAGGACGAAAGGGAAATAATAAAGGAAACCACATAAAAATATCAGAGCGTGCTAGTTTTTGAACCATGCAAACATCTACGACTTTCAAAATACCTATTTTTTTTTCCAGAATTTTAAGGACGTAAATCATTTTTCGACCATCATGAAATTCAAGCGCGGAAATGATCCTTGCTATGAATAGCTAGTCTACATTTTTAACAAAGAGCAGTAGTAGGTACTCGAGAGGGGGTTTTGCTCGATTGTCATTAGAATGAGAGGATGTTTTCTCGTAAGACCAGCTGTGTGCAGATGGCCTGTAGTAAAGTCACGAAATCTTCTTGAATATTCGAAATTGATAATAAAAGTGTCTTTAAAATTATTTTCTCAAATAAATCTATGGATAACCTTCTACAATTTTGCACTCGATAGACAGTCTTAATTGATGCTGGTAACAGACTGAAAAAAGCCAGTTTTATCAACCATGTTAGAGTTTTTGAACTATTTCTTATCACAAGCTTCTTCTGTCATAATTTGCAAACTTGCTCTCCGACAAACGATTCCTCTCAAACGATAAATCTATCTGATAATCAACTTCTTCTCTAATCATTGACCTTAAAATATTTAAACAGATGAAAACAAAGTCCACATCTTTATAAAGAAAATTAAAAATACATAGCCTGTTGCGCCTGTTGCGTGAAATGAGTATCGGCAAAGACTCCAGTGTTCGTGAACCACTGACATCCCATATGTGGCATAGATAGGCCCTATATTATATGGCCGTGTCACATATCTAATCGGTATAGCCTAAAATGTAACATAAACCAGCGACACCAGACGATATCGAGAAGGCAAAAGGTAACATCCCTTTGTTGTTTCTACTCTTTTGTAGATTATCCATAGTAACAACGAGGAATATTTAGTCTAAACAGCACCCCCCCAAGTCAAGATCATTCAAACCTTACTTTGTGAATAATAATTACATAAAAACTTCATCAGTAGCGTCTGACTATGCAAAATTCACAAACTAGCTGTCTGGTGTGTTAGGGGCCGGGTTTTCCTGCAAATTTAAATTAGCAATAGGCGGCAAGGAAATTCACATTTGTGATAGAATTATTTCTCACTACGGCAACAAACGCAACCCTGCTTACTCAAATAAACTTTCACTGATAAGGTGGTTTATCGACTTTTGATATAATTCATGCAACCTTGGGACGCCGTGTATTATCTTAGTTGAAGGTAAAAAGCCCTTTTTGAGAACGCTTATCGCTATTGGGAAAAAAAGAAAACTGGATTACATAAAACTATTCAAAATTAATGTATGTTTGGATTTGCATAGTTACCCCTAAAAATATTTGAATTTTTTTCTTTGTTCTCTACGTGTCGCACCTGACCTGAACTTTGAGATAATGACAAGCTCTCTACCGATCAAACTAAATTGAACTCTGCCTTGTGCCCTAACAAGTCTGAAGATAGATCTAGCGGTGAACAGTTTACTTCAAACACCATTAACAATAAAAATTCTCCTTCTCTTGGGACAATTTTTTCTACAGATCATCTTCGGCTATTTACAATATAAGTTAGGTTTTTATAGTGAACAGGGCTGTGTGCGAAAAATCTCCATTTAACAAATCGACCGTGGCCATGGTTTGTTGTGATCTGTGCTTTTATCGACAACGATATTCGTCATCACAGTGGTCAAAATGTTGTGGGCTTATGATGACACTCGCTAAAAAGCCTTCGTTAATGTTAGTAGCATACTGAAAAACAAATAGTCTTATTAACCATGTTGGAGTTTTTTTAATCATTTCTTAATCCTAACCCTAACCCTAAGAAATTTTTTTCTGTTAAAATTTGCGAGCTAAATGTTAGGCAAACGACTGGTCTCAAATGATAACTCTATATGAAATAGAGATTATCAATTTCTTTTCTAAACGTTTCCTTCTGTATATTTGAACAGATGTTACCAAAGCCGCATCTTTATTTCACAAAGTTTCGTTATAAACATTGTGGCTAATTCCCAATCATGACATAATCGAGCGGCTGGCTCCGTTAACAGCACGTTATCGCTTAATCTTACTTCTGAGGTAAGGCGACATATCTCATCCAGTTTTGATCGCAAAGAAAAATCCTGAGCGCGCTCTGATTCCGCTTCACTACTTCATTAGAAATGCGCAAATTGGCGACATGTTATTGTTTTGTTATGGCTACTACACTAAATTTTTTCACTTGTTAGTTGTTTGTCAGATAATTCAAATACATTTTAATATTTAGAAGTAGCTCTTCTCATCATGAAATGACATATCTTTCCCTCTCTCCAAACAACTATATTTTTTCAAATTAGCTATAGAAGAAACAGTACATGCCAAAGTTAAAACAGGTCTACCCCTACGCATAGCAGAATGCTTGTCTGATTGTCTGCTTTACTGCTCGTCTCACTCCACTCATCTTCCAGCAGTAAAGTAACGGGTTTAAAGTAGAGTTAAAGTACGCTAAGATAATTGCTATTCTCAGGAATATTAATAAATTCGGAGATTGCTTTGTACTAGATATCACAATTCGCAATGTAATTAGTGGTATATAACAGACAACTAAAGCCAACTGCACCCACAGTGCACTGTACACTGCCTTTCTGTATCGTGCCATGTTCATTGCATTTAGATGGCTCGGCTGTTGTTGAGCATGATCTTGTATTTGAGCCTGATGATGCCTGAGAGCGCGGAAAATCTTTGTGTAGGCGGCGATTGAGATTAACAGGCAAAATGGTATACCTATAAGGCTGCACCAAAAGGTTATACTGTAATTGAGCAAAACAAATAAACCATTGACTAGGCATGTAACCCAAACGATAGCTAAAATGATAAACGTGCGCCTCAAAGTTACAATCTCTTTGTATCTCAGTCCCAACAACATGGCGAGAAGTCGGTCCACACTTATGGCGGCCGTTGTAACCAGAGAAACTCCACACAATGTATAGCTTGTTATGGAATCTGCGTAGTTTGCGTAGCGACAAAGACTCCAGTGTTCGTGAACCAAGGAAATCCGATAAATAACATAGAGAGGCTGGCAAACAAGACCAACCAACAGATCAGTTGTTGCTAGACAACGATACAAGAGTTTGGATGGCGGATGGAGGCAAGATTCCTTGTGAAGGGCAATGAGGATAAGAGAATTCCCAAAAGTTGCTGTGATGGAAAGGAGAATGCTGACTGCTGAGAATGAAATGGACTGTTTAAAATCACCTACCCAATCCGGAGAGCATACCAATATCTTAAATGTTTTCGTCTGTGTTGCATTTCCCGTTATATTTATTGTCGCCATCATCCTGCTGTCGTTTCCACTCTCTTGTAGGCTATCCTTATTTACAACGAGGAATATCTCGTCTTAACAGCACCCTCCAAGTCAAGATCAGTTAAACCTTAGTTTTTGAATAGCATTTACGGAGAGTAAAAATTCATCACAAGTGTCTGACTATGTAAAATGCCCGACAGCTGTGAGGTCTATTACACAAAAGAGAAAAAGAAGCCGTTTTCTCCGCGCGAATTTGAATTAGTAATAAGGGGAAAGTAAAACTCCATTTTTGATAGGTCAATTCCCCAACAAAACAGAAAAAAAAGGAAAAACTTCTTCACTCTAATAAACCTTCAGTGATAGGACATCGAAAGTCAACCGACAGTCGCTTTGACCAACGCATCAGCCGACGTGTTGTTTGAATCGGGTTCGTTTTTTTACCCGGATAATAGCATGAATTATTAATTCACGTGATCTTGGGACGCTAGGAATTGTTTTCAGCTAAGGAAAACTAAGAGAAAAATGTTAATATCAAAATTCATGTAGGTTACAGATACAAAGTTATTTTAAAAATATTTTAATTTTGTTCTCTACGTGTCGCACCTATCTGGACTTAGGAACGAAACGGCGACAGGTGTAAGATGTTACGTCGTTAGCCCATCTCTATCTTACATTTTTCATTTACTATTTACCCACTTCATTTATAACCGAAAATTTAGCCGAGTTATTTATTGTGGTCAGGAGGAAATTAATGTCAAGAAGCTTGAGGTTCCATTTTTCAAATATCTAATTTATAGTGAGATTAGCTTCTTTATTTTTTATTGGAAGGAAAACGACTAGGTGATCGATTCCGTGAACACCTTCGCGACGTAGAAAGAAATAACAAGGACGTATCCAAACCACTAGACACTTTAATCGCTCTAAACATTCTAAGCAGCATATGGAAATTTGCAGCCTTTCCCTATACCTAGGAAGTTCGGAAGGCAATAAAACTATAGAACAAAAATGTATCTTTCAAATCGGCACTCTTAATCTCCACGGTATCAAGGAGTGCTTTTAACCGAAATAATTAATTCTTGTTTTCTCCTCATCATATTTCCACCAATAGCGTAGCTCCACTTTCTGTATATAAACCCACACACAACCCACAATTCCTCCAATCCTTCTGGCGAGGGGCTAACGCTCGAAACGTCAGCTTTTAAATTCTTTACAATGGCCAATTTTCGTTATCAACTCACTTGAAAATACTTATTCTCATTCGAACACTAAAGAGAATAAAATCGCCTGTTAGTTACAGTTGAAAATAATAGACTGATTATTAACTCTTTCAATTCTTAGGGAAGTGCAGAGTCTTGCGTAGCACAAAAGTGGATATGATAAAGAAGAAGAGACGAAAACAAATGATACAACAAATACAGGACAACTAAGGGGGGAGGGGGAGGGGTAACTAAGGGGATACAAGTCAACTTTTATCTCCTCATTTTCAAGACTTTGATAAAGCGAGTTACCCATTTTTCATTTGCTCGGCCGTCTTAAAGAGGAGAATACTGGTTACGAAATGATTTGCCAAGAGCTTGGTGGTCCGTGTGGACAGTTGTGTTTCAGATTTCTGTACCAAATCGCTTCATTTCTCAAGAAGGAGTTTACAACATGTGTGGTTCAAATGCGTAGTGAGTTACTTTTGACAATTCCGACTCCGGTTCAAATTTCCCATCTCAGCCGGGCAAGGTTCAAATTCCCCACCCCTCGGGCACGGACGACGGTCCTATGCCCATGGGTTGCCCGGGGGAGTGGGAGAGGGAGGAGAGGAAACGTTGAGATTCGAATTAATCGGTACATTACGGAGTAATTATTACTCATAAAGAAGAGGATTAGCTATCAACTAATACGTCCTGCAAAACGTGACATCCATTCTTTAACATCATTAGATTACATAATTTTATGTTACTAGGTATTTTAAACCAGCGGAGGGAGTCGCCTTCAGATATTTTCAGCAGTAATCTAAGGCTGGAAATGCTGTAGGTGTAACATATTTTATCAGAACACACATTTCTTCTTTGTAAGTCGCTCCACTTTCTAGTTGTAGTATCTTTAAACACCTGAATCCAAGTATTCTAGACAGGTCAGTATTTGTAACTCTGGGAGGGAGGGGGAGGGGAGGGGGGATGGATGGGAGGATTTTGGTTGTCCATAAGGCTCCATAGTATTCTAATGATCCCTTCTCATTGGCTGTCAATTCTCTGTAGTTCCCCTTTTATACTCTGTTGGTAACGACTTATCCTCCCTCTGTTTCCCCTGAGAAGCATGCGCTCCCCCTCCCAAACAAAAAACAAACAAACAAACAAACAAAGCAAAACAAAGCAAAAGAAAAAAAATCAGGTTCTTTAACATTATGACCACCTCTTTTTTTAAATACCCTCTAGGTCTGACATTTCCATACAATAAATAGACTGATCTTGATTTATCACACGGTACCTGACGTGAATGATTGTAACAATTACCAACATGCGAGGCATGTAACTTGACTAGAATCTTAGGTCAACAAATAGGGACCCAGCTCTCCTTTCTGCTACTTTCCTCGAGCAGTCTTCAAATATGTAAATCCACATAGATTTAGCACTCGAAGGGCTATGACAATAAACGATTTATTGCATTAAACACATCCATAAGTTTTGTATTGCATTGTTATGTAAGTAAAATGCTCACTGCAACTACACTTTTAGGAGATTTCTGTGCCAAAATTGAGTCTCACTTTTAATCTTGAAATGCAGAAAAATAATCATGGTATATTTACTTTGTTGAAGTCTTGCATTAAAAAACAAACAAACAAACAAACAAAAAAAACTGTGTATTCATTCAAGATAAAGATATAATTACTGTTTATCTAACACGATAAACGGCAAAGTTGTTAAGTTTTTGGTGAGCTGCTCTACAGAGGATGAAACAAGCTTCTTGACTGATATTTCTGCACTGAAAACCTTCCCTCGGATGGAATTCCTGTGTTTCAGAATGAAAACCTCCTGTAGGTGTTATTTAGGAGTCTACCAAATGCATGGAACACAATTCTCACCATAAGCTCGGGTAAATTTTCTGATGACTGAAAAATAAGAAAAGGAGAGTCAGTAATCAAGTGAAGAGTCAAGTTCTGAACCAGCCTGTGCGATTATTCAAGATCAGTCTATTTATTGCATGGAAATGTCAGAGCTAGAGGGTATTAAAAGGAAGAGGTGGTCATAAACGACATTTTGGATATGGCATCGTATAACGGACAAAATTATACTCCCTGTGACCATTGCTTCAAAATAAATGGTAAAGAAATCAGTATTTGATTAAAGAAAACCTTTACTGAAAGCTATTGACTGATGACAAAGTGCTGCTGCCAATGCTGTGATCTCGGAACTTGTCAGAATTATGATCACATACGTATGGCAGACTGAAAAACAAAAGATCGCAGCGCAGATGTTAGTCTTTAAAGTCTTTAATTAACCATAAGATAAAAGATACATATCCTATATTACATAAACGAGAAACTGTGTAATGATAATTACAATGATATGCTATGGCCAAAAATTAAATTGTGTAATTATAACAGGTTGTGCTCAAAAATTAGTCTGTTCACAAACGTGTTCATGAAATGTTCTGTGTTATTCTTTGGGCGGAAGCAAACCTTGCGACGTAAATTATATTGCTGGAGTTTAGGCTTCGGCAGAATTTCATTTAACGGATGATGGCTTAGGGTCCTAGCTCCACTAAATAATTTGTCATTCTGCACATGCATGATATCCTTTACATTCAATGGAATCGAAATACAACACCACTTGTAACATCTGTTTAAAAAGTTCTGTACTGTGTTTAAATCGCGTTCATACGCACCGGACACTGAAAGGCCATAAGTTAAATTAGGTAATACAATTGTCCTAAAAAGGAGATCTATTTCAGTCTGGTCATATTGTTCCTTTCTCAAAGTTCTTAGTATATAGAAGCACTTGTTAGCCTTAACTAGTTTGACTTTAACATGAGAAGTAAACTTGCAAACACTCTCAAGTGTGACTCCGAGTAAGCACAATTCATTATGTTGTGGAATGCAATTGACTGGATTATAGGTGCCCTTGTTCGATTTCTTTCTAACTACAGGTTCTTTGCATTTACAAGGATTACATGACATACAATTCTCTCGCGACCAATTTAAAAACTCATTCACTAAGGTTACAAAGGTATCAGGATTGCCTAGTACCGGTGCAACAATTTTCGAATCATCAGCATATTTGAATAACGCAGGGAAGCCATCATATGTAATTTCAAGATCGTTAAGAAAAATATTAAAGAGATGGGGGCCACTAACATTACCTTGTGTAGTACCCTTATTGACAGCTGTCCACTTACAGTGATGGTTATCAGACAATATGCGTTGCTGCCTACCGGATAAAAAACCGTGATACCAACTCACAAGATATGGAGATATATGAAATTGTTTAAGCTTGGTGGACAAGAGATTATGTTTCACCGAGTCAAATGCCTTGGAAAAATCCATGGTAAAAAGTCCGGCACAGCTTTACAATTATTATCATCTCGGTACTTGCAAATCTGGTGCTGAATAGCTAAGAGCACAGATGTGCGATTCCCACCCTCTCTGTACGCGAATTGGCTACTGCTCAAGTGATCCTTCATGACGCGTCCGACATGTTTGTTGTATACAGCCCTTTCTAGAGCTTCAGCAATCACCGGTGTTACACTGATTCCCCGGAAATCACCATTCTCCTTAGGTACATCAACCTTAGGTAATGGACTGATGTTCTCTCTTTTCCAAGATTCAGGCCAGGAATGAGTTGACAGGGAGAGATTCCACACATAAGAGATAACCGGGGTTAGAAGTTCTTACAATCGTACCGAGCCGCCATGTTTCTCATGTATATTGCCACTTTATAAGCTCATGCTATGTTCGCACGCAGATCTCACGCGGTCAGAAAAAAACCTATGTTTAAAGTGCCTATGACACGAGTTTTTTTGCGTAAATACTCAGCTCGTCACATGTAAAAACCAATTCTGATAGAAGAAAATTTTCAAAAAACTTAAAACTTGGTCTTTTCGGGCCCTAAAGTGCTCTTATTTAGTCTTAAAGTGTCCCGTGGACTGGTAACGAATCAATGGCTGATGACGTAGAAAACTGTGAAAACTCTCAGTTGACACTCGCAAATCTCTCACATCTCTTTTAATTTTGTATCATTCAGCGTTGAAATAATTTCCGATAGCGATGTATATCTTTCTTCAGCAAGCTCTACCGAGGGTTGTGATACATCGTACTCAAGTAGTAGAGAAAAAATGGAAGTTGCGAGTACGGTTTAGCCCTACGAAGGAAAGCCAGTAGCTTATGATGTATAGTAGCTTATGATGTAGCTTACATCATTTGGCGCTCCAGCCACGCAATACGTTCGTCCTTTCTTCTAGATTTCTCCTTTTCCCACCATAATTGCTAACGTGTCTTTACAGTTTTCTACGTTACAGCTAGGTAACATGATCCTTAATTTAACCGCGCGCTGATAGGGACACTTTTCGGCACCCAAATGGTACTTTAAATGCACAAACAAATGGTCAAGGAGAACTCGCTAAGTGCTAAGGTCGATTCTTTCTAATCCTCAATACAAACATGAACCAGAAAATGCAAAAAAAAAAAAAAATCGTGTCATAGGCACTTTAACAGCCTGGGATATTCTACATCATTTCATCAAATTCTACTTTAAGATCCGTTTCACTATGCTTGCCTGGCTCAGCTCATGACTCAGCAAGACAAAGTAAACAAAGGAGTATATATAAAATTTCCTGGAGTTTTTTAAAACAGAAGTCTACGATATCTAGATATCGCGGTGGGAAATCAGTCGATCGATAAATAATTTTGAACTTTTAAGCATCGCTGACCAAATTTGTTTGATTCTCATTTTATCGATGAAATATATCTTCATTTATGGCTACTTCCTCAAATCATTTACTGATCAAAACTTCGCGTACAACCTGTCATTCATTCCGCGATATTTGTAAAGGCCTTGAGGACGAAAGGCAAGCGTTAAAGGGAACCACATGAAAGAGGTTAAAGCCTAGTAGTTTTTGAACCAAATTTTTACGCCCTCCATAATAACTAGATTCTCTCTCTCTTTTTCTCTTTTTTTTTTTTTCAGAATTATTTTCATAAAATCGTTTTTTGACCATCAGATGAGATTTAAGCGCGAAAATGATCCTTGCAGTGGTGAGCTGTCATACAAACCTTTTTAATTAAGAGCAGTGGTACGTACTCAGGAGGGAGCGTAACACCTTTTATACTCGATTGTCATTAAAATGAGAGAGTGTTTCCTCATTAGACCAGCTGTGTAAACACGGTCTGTGATAGAGTCACGAAACGTTCTTGAACATTTGAATTTGGTGATAAAAGTGCTTCTAAAATTACCTGTTCAAGTATGGATAACTCTCTGAGCACCACAATTTTGCACTCAATAAACAGTCTCAACTGATGTTGGTAACGTACTGAGAAACAACTAGTCAGTCTTATCAACCGTGTTAGTGTTTTCTAAGCCATTCCTAATGATAATTTTCTTCTGTTATAGTTTTCGAGCGAAATCTTTGGCAATTGATTGATCTCAAACGATAAATCTATATAGAATATAGAGATGATCAACTTATTTCCTAAATATTTCCTTCTGTGTATTTGAACAGATGTTAACAAAGTCCGCATCTTTAATTTACAATGTTTCTTTACAAACACTATGGCTACCTCCCAATCATGACAATATCGAGCGGCTGGCTCCTTAAGCATCTCGTCATCACTAAACCATATTTCTGGGCTAAGGTGACATATCTCATCAAATTTTGATCGCAATGTAAAATCCTGAGCGCATTCTCATTCCAAAAAAATAGGCTCAACTACTTCATTAAAAATGCGCAAATTGGCGAGATGTTATTGTTTTTGCCATGACTTCTTAACTACAATTTTTCACCTGCTAGTTGCTCGTTAGTTTTTCGAATACAACGCACTATTTACAAGTAGTTCTTCATATTTTTCCTTACTCTTTTTATTATGAAATATGAAATGGCATATCTTCACCTCTTTCCTAACGATGATAAATTTTTAAATTAGCAATAGAAGAAATAGTACACGCCAAAACTAAAATAGGTCCACCTCTACGCATAGCAGATTGTTTGTCTGACTGTCTGCTTGTCTCACTTCACTTTTCACTTATTGTAAAGTCAAGATCAGTCAAACCTCACTTTTCGAATAACAGTTCCATAAATACTTCATCCAAAAAAGCTGTCTGTGTGTCAGACGAAAAATAAAAAGGGCCAGGTTTTTCTGTGACCATGAATTAGCAATAAGCGGCAAGAAAATATACATCTGTGATAGAATTAATTTACAATACGACAACAAAAAGACCCTACTTATTCAAATAGACTTTCATTAACAAGATGGTTTATCGACTTTTAATATAATTTATCCAAACTAAAGACGCCGTGAATTATCTTAGTTGAGGGTAAAAGTCTTCTTTGAAAATATTAATCGGTATCGAGAAAAATAGAAAACTTGATTATACAAAACTATTCAAAATTAATGAATGGTTACAGATGCATAGTTACCCTAAAAATGTTTGAATTTTTTTTTTTGTTTGTTCTCTACGTGTCGCACCTGATTGGAACTTTGAGGAAATAACAATTTATCTACCAATCTAATTGCATTGAGCTCTGGCTTTATGCCCTAAAAAGTCTGAAAATAGATCAAGCGGTGAACAGTTTATTTTAAAAACCATTAACAATACAAATTTCTTCTTCTCTTTGGACTTTTTTTTTTTTTTTCTACAACTCATCTTCAGCTATTTACAATATAAGTTTAGGTTTTAGTGGTAAACAGTGCTGTTAGCGAAAACTCTTCATTGAGCAAATCGACAACGATATTCGTCATCACAATGGTCGAAATGTTGTGAACTCACGAGGCAGCGCAATGACCAGCTTTAATTGATGTTGGTAACATGCTAAAAGACAGCTAGTCTTATGAATTAAGTTAGAGGGTTCTTTTTAATCATTTCTTATTACAATTTTCTCCTGTTATAATTTGCGAACTCAATCTTAGGCAAATGACTGGTCTCAAATGATACCTCTATATGAAATAGAGATGATCAGCCACTTTTCTGAGAATTTCCTTTTGTCTAATTGAACAGATATTAACAAAGTCCGCATCTTTAATTAATTGGCAAAGTTTCGTTTAAAACACTATGGCTAATTCTCAATCATGACAAAAACGAGCAACACATGAACAGAAAATTATTTTTAGACCATATTTCTGAGCTAAGGTGACATATTTCATCAAGTTTTGATCACAAAGCAAAATCCCAAGCGCATTCTGATTCCAAAATAATAAGCTTTACTCCTTCATTACAAATGCACAAATTGGAAACCTTTTTTTTATGGCTACTGAACTACAATTTTCCACCTTTTAGTTGTTCGTTAGATAATTCGAATACAATATTCTATTTAGAGGTAGCTCTTAAATTTTTCCTTACTCTTTTTATCATGAAATGGCATATCTTCTCCATTCTCTTATAACGATTAAAATTTTTCAAATACGCTACAGAAGAAACAGTCTATACCAACGTTAAAACAGGTCTCTATGCGTAGCAGATTACATGTCTGATTGTCTGCTTTACTGCTCGTCTCACTTCACTTATCCTCCAGCAGTAAATTAACGGGTTTAAAGTAGAGTTAAATAACAGTAAGACAATTATCATTCCCTCGATTATGATGAAATTCGGAGATCGCTTTGTATTAAGGAAGATCACAATTTTCATTGCGATGTATGGTACATAACAGACAACTAAAGCAAACTGCACCCACAGTCCACTACACACTGCCTTTCTGTATCGCGCCATATTCAATGCATTTGGTTGGCATGGCTGTTGTTGAGCATGATCTTGTATTTGAACCTGATGATGACCGAGAGCGCAGAAAATCTTTGTGTATGAGGCAAAGGAAGTAACTAGGCAACATAATGTAATTATAAAGCTGCACCAGAGGGTTATACGATTATTAAGAAGCAAGAATAAACCAGCGAATAGAGATACAACCCAAAAGATAGCTAAAATGATATACGTGCGCCTCAAAGTTACAATCTCTTTGTATCTCAGTCTCAACAACAGAGCGAGAAGTCGATCCACGCTTATGGCCGTCAGCGTCAACAATGAAACTAAACATAACACATAGCATGTTACGCCGGTTGCATCATTTGAGTATTGACAAAGACTCCAGTGTTCGTGAACCAAGGACATCCAATAAGTAGCATAGAGAGGCTGGGTAACAAGACCAATCAACAGATCAGTTGTTGCCAGACAACGATAGAAGAGTTTGGATGGCGGATGGAGAGAAGATTCCTTGTGAAGGGCAACAAGGATAAGCGAATTCCCAAGAGTTGCTGTGATGGAGAGGAGAATGTTGACTGCTGAGAATGAAACGGACTGTTGTTTAACCTCACCTACCAAAACTGAGGAGCATAGCGACCCGTCAAATATTTTTGTATGTGTTCCACTTCCCGACATATTTGTTGTCGCCGTCATCTTGGTGTCGTTTTACCCCTTTGTACGTTATCCTTAGTTACAACGAGGAAGATCTCGTCTTAACAGCGCCCTCCAAGTCAACATCAGTTAACTTTAGTTTTTGAATAGCAATTGCAGAGAGTAAAAATTCATCAGTAGCGTCTGACTTTGTAAAACGCCCGAAAGCTGTGAGGTTTGTGACACGAAAGAGGAAAAAAAGCCGGTTTTTCTGCGCGAATTTGAATTAGTAATAAGGGGAAAAAAAAGTGTATTTGTGATAGGTTAATTTCAAAATACTTCAGAAAAAACCTCTTCACTTAAATAAACATTCGGTGATAGGATACCGACAGTCGACCTTTGACCAACGCATCGGCCGAAGTATTGTTTAAATCAAATTCGCTGCCTTACCCAGATAATAGCGTGAATTATGAATTCACTTGATCTTGGGACGCCATGCATTGTTATCAGCTCAGGCACAATGAGAGAAAACGTCCAATTTCAAAATTAATGCAAGTTTCGGATGCAAAGTTTGTTAAAAATATCGGTTTTGAGAGAAATAGCTAGAATACCTGAAGCTATTCAAAATTAATGTATGTTTACAGATGCATAGTTACCCCTAAAATATTCGAGTTTTTCTTCTTTGTTCTCCAAGTGTCGCACCTGACTGGGACTTTAAGACACTGACAATCTCTCTACCTATCAAACTGCAATATATTTAAAACAACATTGACAATGCACTCTTTTGCAGGTTATCCTTAGCTACAAACAAGGAATTTTTGTGTGTAAGTTATCTCTGGTTCTAGGGCGGAAGTTTGCCTCTGAACAATGCTGTTTGCCTTAGTTACCTGTTTATCAAATTGGTAAACGACATTTTGGATATAGCGTCGTCTAACAGCGGCAAATTTATATTCCCTGTAATCATAGTTCAGGCTTGAAGACTGATTTCCGTGAAAATAATCTATTGCGTAGAAAATGGAAGGCCTGCTGTGAGAAATATCTGCTGTTACCTCTTCAGCTACACAAGTTGCCTTTTGTGTTCATCACAAAACGGACTAAACGCCGTGCACCCCGTGATTGGTCATGGCATATGATTCGTCGGAACAAAAGTGCGTCGGTAAAAACCAATTTCTTTATCAATAATTTGCCGAGATTGCGCACAATTTTGGATTTTTTTAAAATTATTAATATTTTTGTTGCATTCAAGTTTAGGTGTTGAACAGTCCGAAATTGAACAGAAATTAATATGAAGCTTAATACGAACATCAGTGTCGCAGCAGCCTTTGAATAGGAAGCCGCTTCCTTTTCCTTAACGAAATTTGATGTTACTATAATCTCTCCATCCATTCCATAATCGATGAATAAATAAAAAGGGCTTGAATCTGTTTGCTAAGCATCATCCAATGTTAAACGTTCTCAGTCCTTTTTTCCACTTTTGAACATCTAGTTGTAAAGTGGAGTCTCACAGATTCAAAGAAAGCTCTCGAGGAAAGCACAATGATAGAGCAATGACTACTTTATACAAGCTGAAGTCAACCACAAATGGGTGGCTTACAAATATGGCTGCCTCTCATGCTCTTCGGCGTAGTCACAGAATGTGTTGAAAGCAACCCACTCCTTGTTTTTTTGTTGTTGTCGTATTATGAAATACTCTATCACAAATTTATATTTGTTTGCCGCCTATTGCTAATTCAAATTCGCAAAAAAACATTGCCTTTTTTTTCTCTTTCGTCTGACACACTAGACAGCTTGTTAGAACATTTTGTCATAGTTATAGATAGGTGTGAACATTTCAGCTTCTCGATTCAAGTTGCATTTTTAGAAGTTTGGAAATGTGATTTGAGTTTATTCTTTTTGTTAAACTTTGCAAACATTTTATTTATTTCCACGTGAGTTTCTGAGCTTAATCGAAATTAATTTTGACTTTTAGTAAGTAGGGAGGGGTAGCATGCGAGACTACTTCCGTTCACGGTCTACAATGAAACTTCCGTCTACGGAATACAACTTCCGTCTACGGAATACAACTTCCGTCAACATCTGCTTCACAAAAATACCTCAATCATTGCTTTCAGCATAAATGAGCTAAAAAAGAGAAACATTTTTTACATTTTCTGGAGTATTTTAGAACAGAAGTCTATGATATCTAGAAATCGCAATCAGAAATCAGTCGATCGAAAAATAATTTTGAACTTTTAAACATCGCTGACCAAATTTATTTGATTCTCGTTTTATCGATGAAAAATATCTTCATTTATAGCAACTTCCTACAATCATTTACTGATCGAAAATTTGCATACAACCTGTTATTCATCTCGTGATATTCGTGACGGTTCCTAGAGCTAAAGGGAAGCGTTGAAGGGAATCACATAAAAGAGGTTAGAGCGTAATAGTTTTTAATACAAAGTCATACCTTCCATCATACCTCTTTTGTTTTTTTTGAATTTCAATAAAGTTAATTCATTTTTTGACCATCAGATGAAATTTAAGCGCGGAAATGATCCTTGCAGTGGTGAGCTGTCATACAGACCTTTTTAATTAGGAGCAGGGGTAGGTATTCAAGAGGGAGTGTTAACAACTTTTGTACTCGATTGTCATTAAAACTAGATAATGTTTTCTCATAAGACCAGCTGTGTACACACCGCCTGTGATAGAGTCACGAAATGTTCTTGAATATTCGAATTTGCTAATAAAAGTGCTTCTAAAATTACTTGCACAATGAAACCTGTGGATAACTTTCTGAGGACTAAAATTTTGCATTGGATAAATAGTCCTAATTGATGCTGGTAACGTACTGAGAAATAGCTAGCTGGTCTTATCAACCATGTTAGAAGTTTTGTTTTTAACATTTCTTATTGTAATTTTCTTTTGTTAGAGTTTTCGAGCTCAATCTTTGGCAATTGATTGGTCTCAAATAATTAACCTATTTTCTAAACCACCTTCTGTGTATTTGAATAGATGTTATCAAAGTCCGTGTCTTTAATTTACAACGTTTTGTTATAGACACTATGGCTAATTCCTAATCATGACAAAATCGAACGCCTGGCTCCTTTGACAGCTCGTTATTAGCAAATCACATTTCTGAGCTGAGGAGACATATCCCATCAAGTTTTCATCGCAAAGAAAAATCCTGAGCGCGTTCTCATTCCAAAATAACTAATAGCCTTCTCTACTTCATTACATATGCGCAAATTGGCGACATGTTGTTTTGTTATGGCTACGAAACTACAATTTTTCACCTGTTATTTTTTCGTTAGATAATTCAAATACAATATACTATTTAGAAGTAGCTCTTCATATTTTTTCTTACTCCGTTTATCATGAAATAGCATATCTCCCCCTCTCTTCTGAAAATTCTAGAATAATTTTTTAATTAGCTATAGAAGAAACAATACATGCTAACGCTAAAACAGGTCTACCCTTCTGCATAGCCTCGAAAAAAAATTTAATGAGACTACCTTGGCCTCTATGATTAATGTGTGGAGTTTATGTTGAAGAGCTCCCGAGGAAAGCACAATGATAGAGCAATGACCACTTTATACCAGCTGAAGTCAACCGCAAATGGGCGGCTTTCAAATATGGCTGCCTCTGATGTTCTTCTGCGTGGTCACAGCATGTGTTGAAAGCAACCCGCTCATCTATCATTTGTGTATATTTGTTTGCCGCCTATTGCTGATTCAAATCCGCAGAAAAACCTGACCCTTTTTTTTCGCTTTCGTCTGACACACAAGGCAGCTTGTTAGAGCATTTTGTCACAGTCATAGATAGGTGTGAACATTTCAGCTTCTCGATTCAAGTTGTATTTTTAGAAGTTCGGAAATGTGATTTGAGTTTATTCTTTCTATTAAACTTTACAAACATTTTATTTCTTTCCACGTGAGTTTCTGAGCTTCATCGAAATTGATTTTGACTTTTACTAAGTAGGGAAGGGTAGCATGCGAGACTACTTCTGTCCACGGAATACAACTTCCGTCAACATCTGCTTCACCAAAATACTTCATCCATTGCTTTGAAGAATAAATGAGCTAAAAAAAGAAACATTTTTTACATTTTCTGGAGTATTTTAGAGCAGAAGTCTACGATATCTAGAAATCGCAGTCAGAAATCAGTCGATCGAAAAAAAATTTTGAACTTTTAAACATCGCTGACCAAATTTATTTGATTCTCGTTTTATCGATGAAACATATCTTCATTTATGACAACTTCCTACAATCATTTACTGATCAAAAATTTGCATACAACCTGTCATTAATCCCGTGATATTCGTGACGGTTCCTAGAGCTAAAGGGAAGCGTTGAAGGGAATCACATAAAAGAGGTTAGAGCGTAATAGTTTTTAATACAAAGTCATACCTTCCATCATACCTCTTTTGTTTGTCAGAATTTCAATAAAGTTAATTCTTTTTTTGACCATCAGATGAAATTTAAGCGCGGAAATGATCCTTGCAGTGGTGAGCTGTCGTACAAACCTTTTTAATTGGGAGCAGGGGTAGATATTCAAGAGGGAGTGTTAACAACTTTTGTACTCGATTGTCACTAAAACTAGAGAATGTTTTCTCATAAGACCAGCTGTGTACACACCGCCTGTGATAGAGTCACGAAATGTTCTTGAATATTCGAATTTGCTAATAAAAGTGCTTCTAAAATTACTTGCACAATGAAACCTGTGGATAACTTTCTGAGGACTACAATTTTGCATTGGATAAACAGTCTTAATTGATGCTGGTAACGTACTGAGAAATAGCTAGCTGGTCTTATCAACCATGTTAGAAGTTTTGTTTTTAACATTTCTTATTGTAATTTTCTTCTGTGAGAGTTTTCGAGCTCAATCTTTGGCAATTGATTGGTCCCAAATAATTAACCTATTTTCTAAGCATTTCCTTTTTTGTATTTGAATAGATGTTATCAAAGTCCGTATCTTTAATTTACAACGTTTTGTTATAGACACTATGGCTAATTCCTAATCATGACAAAATCGAGCGCCTGGCTCCTTTGACAGCTCGTTATTAGCAAATCACATTTCTGAGCTAAGGAGACATATCCCATCAAGGTTTGATCGCAAAGAAAAATCTGGAGTGCGTTCTCATTCCAAAATAACTGATAGCCTTCTCTACTTCATTTTATATGCGCAAAAATGGCGACATATTATTGTTTTGTTACGGCTACTAAACTACAATTCTTCACCTGTTATTTTTTCGTTAGATAATTCAAATACAATATACTATTTAGAAGTAGCTCTTCATATTTTCTCTTACTCCGTTTATCATGAAATGGCATATCTCCCCCTTCCCCCTTTTTCAATTAGCTATAGAAGAAACAGTACATGCTAACGCTAAAACAGGTCTACCCTCTGCATAGCAGATTGCTTGTCTGATTGTTTCCTTTACTGCTCGTCTCTTTTCACTTATCTTCCATGAAAAGTCAATATCAGTCAAACCTCACCTTTTGAATAACAGTTACATAAACACTAAATCAGTGGCGTTTGACTCTGAAAAATGTTCGAACAAGCTGTCTAATGTGTCAGACGTGAAATAGAGATGATCAACTTCTTTTCTAAACATTTCCTTCTGTGTATTTGAACAGATGTTAACAAAGTCCGCATCTTTAATTTACAAAGTTTCGTTATAAACACTATGGCTAATTCCCAGTCATGACAAAATCTGTTGATCTCTAAACCATATTTTTGAGCTAAGGAGACACATCTCATCAAGATTTGATCGCAAAAAAAAAATTCCTGAGCATATTTTGATTCCAAAATAATAGCCTTCACTACTTCATTACAAATGCGCAAATTAAAGACATGTTATTGTTTTGTTATGGCCACTAAACTACAATTTTTCACCTGTTAGTTGTTCGTTACTCAGAAGAGGCTCTTCATATCTTTCCATATTCTTTTCATAATGAAATGCAATATCTTCTCCTCTCTCCTGACAACTGACTATAGTTTTTTAAATTAGCTATAGAAGAAACAGTACTTGCCAACGATAAAACAGGTCTACCCCTCTGCATAGAAGATTGCTTGTCTGATGGTCTGCTTTACTACTTGTCTTACTTCACTTATCTTCCAGCAGTAAAGGAACGGGTTTAAAGTAGAGTTAAAGAACACTAAGACATTTGCCATTCCATGCAGTATGAATAAATTCGAAAATCGCTTTGTACTAAGAGAGATCATAATTTCTACTGTAAATCGTGGTACATAACAGACAACTAAAGCTAACTGCACCCATAGTGCACTGTACACTGCCTTTCTGTATCGCGCCATGTTCAGTACATTTGGTTGGCTCGGTGGTTGTTGAGCGAAATCTTGTATTTGAGCCTGATGATGATTGAGAGCGCGAAAAATCTTTGTGTACGAGGTGATTGAGATTACCAGGCAAGATGATATACTTACGAGGGTGCCCCAAAATGTTATGCGGAAATTTAGATGAGAGAATAAACCAGAGATTAAACATGCAACCCAAACGATAGCTAAAATAATATACGTGCGCCTAAAAGTTACAATTTCCTTATATCTCAGTCCCAACAACATGGCGAGAAGTCGGTCCACACTTATGGCCGTCATTGTTAACAGAGAAACTCCACACAATGTATAGCCTGTTATTTCCATTGCGTCCCTTGCGTACCGACAAAGACTCCAGTGTTCGTAAACCACAGACATCCAGTAAACAGCACAGTGAGGCTGGGTAACAAGACCAACCAACAGATCAGTTGCTGCCAGACAACGATACAAGAGCTTGGATGGCGGATGAAGGCAAGATTCCTTGTGAAGGGCAACGAGGATAAGAGAATTTCCAAGAATTGCTGTGATGGAGAGGAGAATGTTGACTGCTGAGAATGAAATGGACTGTTGTTTGAACTCACCTACCCAAACCGTGGAGCATAGCGATTCTTTAAATGTTTGCGTATGTGTTCCACTTCCCGTTATATTTGTTGTCGCCATCATTCTGTTGTCGTTTCTACACTTTTGCAGGTTAATTATCCTTAGTTACAACGAGGAATATGTCCTCTTAGCAGCACCCCCCAAGTCAAAATCAGTTAAACCCTATATTTTTACTAGCATTTATAGAGATTAAAAATTCATCAGTAGCGTCTGACTATGTAATTAAAATACCCGAAAGCTGTGAGGTTTGTTACACAAAAGAGGAAAAAAGCCGTTTTCTCTACGCAAATTTTAATTAGTAATTAAAGTAAAACTTCACCTTTGATAGGTTCATTCCCCAACATATTAGAAAAAAAAATCTACATTTAAATAAAGGTTCAGTGATAGGATATCAAGAGTCGACCAACAGTCGGTAGACAGTCGACCAATTGTCGGTGGACGTCTTGACCAACGCATTTGCCGACGTGGATCGGATTCGTTTTCTTACCCGGATAATAGCGTGAATTATTAATTCACGTGATCTTGGAATGCCATGAATAGTTTTCCGCTTAGGAAAACCGAGAGAATACCGTTAAAATTTAAATTAATGTCGGTTGCAGATACAAAGTTATTCTGAAAATATTCGAATTTTTTTTCTCTTCGTGTCGCTCCTATCTGGACTTAGGAAGGAAACGGCGACAAGTTTAAGATGTTATCTTAACTTTTTCATTTACTATTTACCCACTTGTTTGAAAATTGAAAATTTAGCCGAATTGTATGTTGTGGTCAGGAGAAAATTTAAGGTCAAGAAGCTTGAGGTCCCATTTTTTCATATATCTAATTAATAGTGAGATAAGCCTGTTTCTTGGAAGGAAGGCAACTAGGTCACCGATCCCGAGAACACCTTAGCGACGTAGAAAGAAATGACAAGAACGCATCCAAACCAGACGCTAGACACTTTAATCACCCTAATCATTCTAGGCAGCATATGGCAGTTTGCAGCCTCCTCATACCTAGGAAGTTCGGAAGGCAGTAAAACTGTAGAACAAAAATGTATCTTTCAAATCGGCACTCTTACTCCCCACGGTATCAACGAGTGCTTTTCATTGAAATAATTCATCCTTGTTTTCTCCTCACCATATTCCCACCAATAGCGTAGCTCCACTTTCTGTACATAAGCCCACACACAATCCAAAATTCCTCCAATCGCCTAGGCTAACGCTCGAAACGTCAGCTTTTAAACTTTTTACAGTGGCCAATTAACGTTATCAACACAGTCGAAAATACTAAACTACCCTAAATTTCTTGTTACTTTTTTATGTTTCAAACACAATGTCATGCATAGGGCAAGTAATTGGATTCATTTTGTTGCTGTTTTACTGTGCGATGAACGATTCACCTTTGATAGTCAAAATCCGATTCCAACACCAAAGGGAATAAAGTCGTCTGTTAATAACAGTTGAAAATAATAGACTGATTATTAACTCTTTCGATTCTTATTGAGGTACAGAGTCTTGCGTAGCGTGCAGTCAGCGGAGTATTTTAAGTCGGGTCAGACAACGTACACAGCACATCTACAGAATCAACCCCGCAAGACGTAAACAAAATAAAGTTTACAACTTGAAAAGTGGATATGATAAAGAAGACGAAATGGAAACAAATGATATGACAAATACAGGGCAACTAAGGGGGAGAAAAAGGGGTAACTAAGGGAATACAAGTCAACTTTTATCTCCCCATTTTCAGGACTTTGATAAAGTGAGTTACCCATTTTTTATTTGCTCGGCTGTCTCAAGGAGGAGACTACTGATTACGAAATGATTTGCCTTGTGCATGCTGGTCCGTGTGGAAATAAAAAAAATCTAATCAAGTTGTGTGCCAGTTTACATTTGCTGTAAAAGATAACGAATCGAATTTCTTAACCAAACAAACATTTTCCCAGCTTGTAATGAATGACATAAGGCCTTATTTCCCGATTTTGCAACGCTATCAATACGAATCGAACACCCTGTTTTTCAGTTCTTACTCGTGGTTGTGTTGCAGATTTCTATACCAAATCGCCTCTTTTCTCAAGCAGGAGTTTATAACGTGTACGGTTCAAATGCGTAGTGAGTTACTTATGACCCTTCCGATTCCAGTTCAAATTTTCCATCTTAGCCGGGCAAGGTTCAAATTCCTATCCCTCGGGCACGGACGACGGACCTATGCCCGTGGGTTTCCCGGGGGAGTGGGAGAGGGAGGAAAGGAAACGTTGAGATTCGAATTAATCGGTGCATTACGGAGCAATTATTATTCACAAAGAAGATGATTAGCTATCAACTAATACGTCCTGAAAAATGTGACATCCATTCTTTAACATCATTAGATTATATAAGTCTATGTTACTTGGTATTTTAGAGACAACCAGCTAACGTAGTCGCCTTCAGATACTTTTAGCAGTAATCTAAGGCTGTAAATGCTGTAAGTGTAACATCTTTTATCAGAGCATACATTTCTTATTAGTGAGTCGCTCCACTTTCTAGTTGCAGTACCTTTAAACACCTGAATTCAAGTATTCTGAACAGGTCGGTATTTGTAACCCTAGGAAGGAGGGGGGGGGGATGGATGGGAGGATTTTAGTTGTGTCAATATTCGATGAATATTCCCTGATTCCCCATAAGGCTCCATAGTATTATAATGTTCCCTTCTCATTGGCTGTCAATTCTCTGTAGTCCCCGTTTTATACTCAGTTGGCAACGACTTATGCTCCCTCCGTTTCCCCTGAGAAACATGCGACCCCCCCCCAGCAAAAAAAAACAACCAAAACAAAACAAAAAACAAAAACAAAAACAAAAAAAAAGTCAGGTTCTTTAACATTATGACCACCTCTTCCTTTAAACACCCTCTAGGCCTGACATTTCCATACAATAAATAGTCTGATCTTAAATAATCGCACGGTACTTGACGTGAGCGATTGTAACAATCATCAACATGCGAGGCATGCAACTTGATTAGAATCTTAGGTCAACAAATATAGAGGCCCAGCTCTCCTTTCTGCCACTTTCCTCGGGCAGTTTTCAAATATTTTAATCCACATAGATTTAGCACTTGAAGGATCGCTACAATAAACGATTTATTGCATTAAACACATTCAGGATTATTGTATTACATTGCTATGTAAGTCAACTGCCCACCGCAACGACACCTGTAAGAGACTTTTGTATCAAAAATTGAGTCTCACTTTTAATCTTTAAATATAGAAAAATAACAATGATATATTTACTTTGTTAAAGTCTTTCATTGAAAAAAAGTGTATATTAATTAACATAAAGATAGAAACTGTTTATCTAACACGATAAACGACCGAGTTGTACATTTTTAAGAGAGCTGCTCTACAGAAGATGAAACAAGCTTCTTGACTGATATTTCTCCACTGACAACCTTCCTTCGGATGTAATCCCTGTGTTTCACGATGAAACCAAAGAACGTATCGTCCACTTGTAGGTGTTATTTAGGAGTCTAAGAAATCTATGGAACACAATTTTCACTAAAAGGAGCGTCAGTAATCAAGTGAAGGGTCAAATTCTTAATCAGGCTGTGCGATTATTCAAGACCAGTATATTCATTATGTGGAAATGTCAGAGCTAGAGGATATTAAAAGGAAGAAGTGGTCATATTGTAAAAGACTGACTTTCTCTTTTCTTTTCTTTTTTTTGAGGGGGGGGGGATAACATGATTCTTAGGGGAAACGGAGGGAGGATAAGTCGTCGCCAACGGAGTATAAAAGGGAGGACTACATATCTATTCGGTAGTCTAAAATGTAACTTAAACCAGTGACACCAAACTGCACCCAAAAGGTTGCTACCACAAAGTAGGTGGGCTTCAAAATTACATTGAATTTGTTTGTATCTTAGCCCCGACAACAGGGCTAGAAGTCTCTCCACACTGAACACAATGCATATAGGCTGTTATGTACGTTGCTTTGTATGCGAATCGACAAAGATACCACTCTTTGTGAACCAAGGACATCCAATAAGGGGCAATGAAAGGCTGGCTGACAATACTAACTAACAGATCAGTTGTTGCCAAACAACGTTGCAAGAGTTTGGACGGTGGATGGAGGGAAGATACTTTGTGAAGGGCAACAAGGACGAGAAAGTTCCCCAAAAATGCCATAAGCGAGAGGAGAATGTGGACTGGCAAAATAAAGTGATTGTTGTTATAATCCACCTGCCTATGATGGCGAGCAAACTAGGTCTTCAAATGTTCTTGTTCGCCTTTCAAATTTGAAGCCGGAATCATCAGTATCTTCTTTTGTCTGGGTGTATACGACAGGTGATTGCATTCCTTTTGTCTAACCGTTGATAAATCGCTCTAATACTGAATCGAAGAAAATATCGGTAATAATCAATCGAAGTCTGCATTAATATATATTATTTGCTGGCTGGGAGGTCCTATGGACGGTTTTTCACCGTACAGACCGACCCTAAGCCAGTAAATAATATAATTATTTATTTTTTTTAACTTAACGAAATTCTTTCCAAAAGAACTCAAATGATTTAGGGCTGTGAATACAGCAAGATCTTCCATAAACAGAACAGTATTTGAGCGAGTAAACGGTAGTTAAAATAGAGGTGATGCAAATTAAAGAGAGATGCTTCACCGAAACATTTTCATTTGCGTCATGATAAAGGTGATTTAAAAGGCTTCCAAAAAAACTTTGAAACATTATTTTTACAAATATCTGTCACCATCTGACACCTGTCAATTAGAGAGTGCGTAAGGAAAAAAAAGCGCATGAACACTTTTGAAAAACAACGAAGCTAGTTTGGCAAGGACTGTCACGACAATGTTTCCTTCAAAAACAATCTATGATCCAACGGAAAGTACTATTCACTCTCATCGACGATTAACTCATGAACGAAGATTTACCTCTGTTCATTGAGTAAGTTTTCCACAAAAACTAAATTGGAATGATACACTCCAACGAGACACAAGAAGATTTAATGCGGCCTTTTTTTCATCGAATTCCTCCAGTTTCTGTTGTGCAATTTACGGTACAAATGTCCAGATTGAACGGACTTGAAAAGGCTCACCAAGAGCGTACATTTGTTTTAAAACTGAAATCAAAACTTCGCTCGCTCTTTCACTGCGAACAAATTGTTTGAGAAAATTCAGATATTAAATGAATGAAAGTTCCATCGATTTGTTCAACTTTAACCAAATATCCCATGTGTTAACTTTCATAGGTACTTTTTGTGAACGACTAAAATTAATTCCGCTTGTCACGTAATGACACGATTGCTTATACAAATTCATTCTCAAACCAATATTTTTCTGTCAACCGCAGTGATTTGATAGAGAGAAAAGAGAGGATTAATAAGTTATTTATCGGCTAGAGGTTGTGACCAATGTCATTGCTTAAAAATATTACCCACTCGGCAAAACGAGATACATTTATGAAAAATGGCAACGAAAGTAGGGATGTACTTGGCGACTCACGAAAGTGTTACCGTGGCCCGTGGGCAGAGATAGGAAAATACTGACCGAGTAAAGAACCAATCAGACTGCAGGATTCGTTACCGTGCCCTCTGAGAAAAAAAAAATAAAATAAAAAGAAGCTTTTATTGACAGCCTATAAAACGAAGTGCATGGTTAACGGCGCGATAGCCACGGCGGAGCGAAAAAAGAGTGAAGCTTGGGTCGAGTTGGGTAAAGATAGGCGTTCACCCGACCCGACCCAAGCCTCTTCCGTTTTGCACTCCATTGCTGCTATGATTTCTACCATGTCACTCCGTTTTACTAAATGAACGCCTGGAAAAGACTAGCGATAACAACAGCAACTAAATTTGAGCCCTGCTTATAGAGATATACTCAAGGAGGCTCCACAGGGTTTTACTCAATGCTTTGCAAGGTCACTAAAGGCTATCAAAAGGCAATGAGCAAGGTTCGAACCATCGTTTGCTGCAGTAAATATTATCGAAATGATTTTTGTTATTAAGCGAACGCTCCACGAAGAGGGGGCCCTCGTCAGCGCTATTTTGATTTGCCTTTGATTTTCTTCAATTTGCTTAAGTGAAATCTCTCTCAAAATCTTCACAAATTAGTGGCTGATGAAGTAAAAAACTGTGAAAACTCTCAATTGACACTTGCAAATCTCTCGCATCGCTTGTAATTTTGTATCAGTCTGCGTTGAAATACTCTTGAAATAATGTGCGATAGCGATGTAGACCTATCTTCGGCAAGCTTTACTGAGAGTTGTGATACATCGTACTCAAGAGGTAAAGAAGAAATGGAAGTTGCGAGTAAGGTTTAGCCCTACGAAGGAGAACCGCGTTGCATCAAACGAAGATTTCGACGAAGACTGACCAAAACGTTTCCTCGCCTGTGGTGTTTCGGTCAAAATTAGAACAAAAGATTCCGATACTGAATCTTTAGTTTGCTGCGTTAGTGTTTTATTTTCTATGGCGAAATCTATGTTAAGAATGGGTGGCTTTACACTATGTGCAGCGAATGTTCCCCTCTGTCAGTGCTCTATAGTTTTGCTGCTGTAGAGAATATTTCCGCATTCTCCTCTCAATGTCGACTCATAAATGTTCTCGTTTGTTTGGCCGCTTATAGTAGAATATTAGAGCAAAACGACAGCCACCGTGAACCGGGTTGCCAGTTAATTAAGACTATGAATTACCGCTCAACCAAAACAGCAACGGCATAAATCGCCCTTCATTCTCTCTTGTCAAGAAAACATTAGGTGCTTTGATAGAAATAACCCTGGCCATTTTTAAATGTAGCCATTATCCAGATGTGGATAATAACAGGGCTGTGTGAAGACACCAATTCCTTTATAATTTACCCTCTTACGCACATACAAGATCGAACCTTGAACTGGCGAGCTAAACGAAAGCGCTTGGACCTCCGACCAGAGACGAATAAATGATTTTGAAGTTTCTAAAGCAGACAAGCTAAGAAACTATGGTGGTTTGTCGGTAGGGATTTTTGAGGGAGTTGATGAAGTAAATTGGCTGTTAAAGCGAAGGTAAGGGCTAACGCTGAAAAAGTCAGCTTTAGAATCTCTTTACAGTGGCCTGGTTACATTATTAACTCAGTTGATAAAACCAAATCATCAGAGACGGATAGAAGTGAGATCTCTATAACCTTCTGCACTGCATTAATTGAACCAAACTTTAACGGGAAGAAAAATGATGATCTGTCCTGTTTTCTAGTATTTATGGCTAATTTTAAAATATTTCGAGACCATAACGCGAGAACGAGTTCAAAATAAAACATCACACTCGGAGAGAAGCCTATCGCTTTACTTCATAAAGCATGGGTACGTTATGTAAATTCCTGGTTTGTGTGATGCAAAGATGTTAAGGAAAATTGGACGAAATCCTGGAGAGCTGAAGAGCAACTTTCTCAAAGCGGACCAACATTTTGATACAGCTACTATTTTGTTTCGAGAATACTGAATCGTGACATTCTTCGGTGACCTTTCATACGCTCACGAAGGATCGATGTCAAATGAGTAATTGTCCCACAATCTGCATTAGTAGCTAAAAGTGTCTGAAATGGGCGTCCGTAAACGTTAATCAAAATGGGTCATCAGACAAAAGAAACAGTATTTCCTTTATCCATATGTCATGTATGAAAGATGTAGATTTGTTTTAATCCTGAGTTGTAAATCCCCACTTCACCCTACATATTAAGAGGGAAAGACGGCGCGACACTTTCCATTTATGAGTACGTGATGTTATATGTTGTTTGTGTGACTACCAACTTTCAAGGAACATTGAATTGAATCCTGCAGCGCTGGTACTCTCTAACTTAAGTTTCCAACCTACTGCAATCCCCGCTCCGCTACGTCCCAGGTTCATACAGCTTACCAACTTCCAACTATTTTTGTTTTAGGGAAGTATACGACGAGAGTGTTCAAAAACCCTCCAACAACATAACCTCCGACTGCATAAAGCTTCCCACGCAAAACAGCAGTACTAAGTGCACTTCTCCTAGTTATTAGAGGCGAATCAGTTATCCACGAGTCCGAAGCTGGGCTATGGCGTTCACACTGTTAAATTGCGTGTCGCCGTCATATCCATCAATGCTGACTGCGACGTTTCGACTGCTACACTGCTGGTCTTCGTCAGGCGAAGAGATCGACAATTTTCGTGTGGCCATTTATAGCAAGGGGTTACTAAGAATTCCACGAAGAAAAGCATGCAATGGTCTTGTGTATTCTAAAATGAGAGTCGGATGTGAAATGTCAAATTGAAAACTTTCCAAAAAACCTGCATCTATGCAGGCGAATACTTGAGAGATTTGTGAATGAAAGTTATCCTCGCAGTAATGTGCACTACTTAGGCAGTAGTGAAAATAAGGCCTGAAAAAAATTTAGGCCTGTACGGGATTTGAACCCATGACCTCTGCGATACCGGCGCAGCGCTCTACCAACTGAGCTAATAAGCCAACTGGGAGGTGGTCTAAGTAGTGCACATTACTGCGAGGATCACTTTCATTCACGTCTTTATCCGCAGTTTAAATATATATAACTTTCATATATTCTTAACCGTTACTTGAGAGATTATTATTATTAAATTAAGTCAAAGCTGTGTTCTGTTACATAAAAATTTGTATCGTTGTTCTTCAAGTAGTGTTGTGAAACTTAAAATTAGTTGAAATATTGTCAAAATCCACAAAGGCAGCCAAAATTAAATTACTATATAGAATAAACTGCAGTGTTTGAAAAGGATTTCCAGCCCTGGAAGCAAAAATTCCGTATCTACCTGCACCCATGTATTATTCTCCATTCGAAATTGAGTATTTGTTGTGAGTATACAGTGGCTACTGTTTTTGTTGTTGTTGTTGTTTTTTAATGTAATTTGTAAGGTGTTAGAGTGGGACCCAGAACGGCATTTAGACTTAGAAAATAAACCGACAGGAAATTCAAAAGCTATCCTGCATAGCCAATGTAGATACACTTGAATGCTGCACCTTGCAGCATTCGAGAACTCTTCCAAGATATTTCTGAGATGCATTTTTATAACACTCGATCTTCTGCTTCTGACAACTTTCATAAACAAAACTCTAGACTATCAATTCGACTACATTCTTTCTCAAGAATTAGAACAAAAGTTTGGACTGAGGTGCCCTTAAAATTGAGAAAAGACAATAAAAAGAAAACTCTTTGACATTCTCATTTTAGAAGACTCTTT